TACAAAAGAAAATTGAACAAGAAATTTGTTCAACAATTCCAAACGCTTTTTGGGATAGAAAGAAACATATTATTTCTCTTCCTTACAATTCTGATTTTCATGAATCAAATATTCCTACAAAATCTCGTCCTATTCAAATGAAAAAAGAATTACTTGATTTTTGTATTAAGGAAATCAATGATTTACTTGAGAAGAATTTAATTCGCCCAAGTAAATCTCCATGGAGTTGTTCTGCATTTTATGTTAACAATTCTGCTGAGATTGAACGAGGTGTTCCACGCCTTGTTATCAATTACAAACCCCTCAATTCTGCTCTTCAATGGATCCGTTATCCAATTCCTCAGAAGAAAGATCTTCTGAATCGACTTTCAATAGCTATCATCTTCTCAAAGTTTGACATGAAGTCAGGATTCTGGCAAGTTCAAATTAAAGAAGAAGATAGATACAAAACTGCATTCAATGTTCCCTTCGGACAATACAAATGGAATGTTATGCCTTTCGGTCTCAAAAATGCCCCTTCTGAATTTCAAAAAATCATGAATGGCATTTTCAATTCATTTTCAGATTTCATTATTGTTTACATTGATGATGTTCTCATTTTTTCAAAATCTATTGAACAACATATCAAGCATATTCATACATTCATACATGTTATTAAGAAAAATGGTTTAGCAGTTTCTGCTAAAAAGATTGTTTTGTTTCAAAGAAAAATTCGTTTTCTTGGTCATATTATTCAAAATTCTTCAATAATTCCAATTCAAAGAAGTCTTGATTTCACTGACAAATTTTCAGATGAAATTAAAGAAAAAACAAGTTTACAACGCTTTTTAGGTTGTGTCAATTATGTGGCTGATTTTGTCAAAGATATTCGTCAAATATGTGCCCCATTATTCAAAAGATTACAAAATAACTCTGACCCATGGAGTCATGAGTGTACGCATGCGGTTCAAAAGGTGAAAAAGTTAGTCAAAAATATTCCCTGTCTGTCTATTCTTGACCCCACAGCTTCAATTATTGTCGAGACAGATGCTTCAAGCATAGGATTCGGTGGTGTGTTAAAGCAATTTGAAATTCATTTGAGTTAAAATCATTTGATGCAGATGCAGATGAATTTGATGCATTGTCAACTTCTTCTTCATTTTGAAAAACATTTGAACTATTTTCATTTTGTGATCTATTTCTAGACCTAGATCTCCTTAGCCAATTAGAAACCGAAGACATAATGAAAATAATGAAATCAAAATAAAATTACACAATAAAAACAACAAAATAGGATAAATAGGATTCTCACCAAGCCTACAAACGGGACCACCCAACGGGACCACCTACAGGGCTGACCAACGTCTACAGGGCTGACCAACGTTTATTCAGCAGACATCCAGGTTTAAACCAGACTCACCTATTTTGAACCGTGTTTATCATGTAAGATTAAAATAATCTCACTTCTCTTCACCAATGGCTCTGGTACCATAAAAGACCCAGGGGAATAGGAGATGAAATAGAAGAACAGAAATTTATGAAAATAGATAATTTTATTGAAAATTGAAGAAGATTTAAGTATTACAATGATAATTGAAGAATATTTGAGAGAACAAATTACAATGAAAAGTAAAACTTCTTCTTGCTGAATTCGCTCTGCTATGAAATGAAGTCTTGAGCTCCTTTTATAATGAAATCCGGACTTGAAATTTCTTTCATTTGAGAGAAATAATCTTGAACAAAGGAGTGGATAACATCATAATAATAAAAGACCCAGGGGAATAGGAGATGAAATAGAAGAACAGAAATTTATGAAAATAGATAATTTTATTGAAAATTGAAGAAGATTTAAGTATTACAATGATAATTGAAGAATATTTGAGAGAACAAATTACAAAGAAAAGTGAAACTTCTTCTTGCTGAATTCGCTCTGCTATGAAATGAAGTCTTGAGCTCCTTTTATAATGAAATCCGAACTTGAAATTTCTTTCATTTGAGAGAAAGAATCTTGAACAAAGGAGTGGATAACATCATAATGAAGCATCTTGAAAAGCAGCATCAACTTTAGTCAAAAGTTTCCAATTTTTGACTTCTTTTAATAAAGATAATCTTTCTCTTTATTAAAAGAGATATTGATGTCTGACGCAAAGTTGATGGGAATCTTGACAAATATTGCACCACTGGTTTATAATTGGACAGAGATTAAGCAAAATCTCTCTTGATTTGTAGACCTTAGATTTTCTTAATTCATCGAGAAAACTGGGTCCATGTAGTCATTTTGTAGTTTTCTTTGAAGCTTTAGCGGCTTTCTCTTGAGCAAGATAATCTGTATAGTCATCACCTAGATCAACTAAGTCATCACCATTGTCAGTATCTTGAGAATATTGAGATTCTTCTTCTTGATCAGATTCATTTGTTTTTGAGGATCCTTGTTTAGAAATTTGATCGAAAATTTCTAACAATTCTTTAGGATCTTTGCATTTTGATAACATTGCAATGATTCTTTGTTTTTCAGTCAAAAAATCAGCTTGATCTTCTTGTTCTTTCTTTGAAAATTTAGGTACACCTAAATTTCTTTGTTCTTGAATCCATGATTGTACTGCCTTTGGACAACAGTTTGTTTCTTTAAACTTTGCCCACCATTTAATTTTGAATCTCCTTGTAATCTGCTGACATGAGTAATTGTCCTTGAAATTTTGATATTGAAAGAAATCCCAGCAAAAAATCCAGGAAACTCTCATGTTGAACGCAAATTGAAACCAAAGATTTTCTTGAAGCTTGAGAAAAGGTTTTGCTTCTTTTTTGAAGTATTCATATCCTTGAAGAACTAGACTGGGTAAAATTTGTTCTTCAATTCCATGATACAAAAACCATGTTTGAAACCAGCTCGAAAAATGAGGGTTACAATTTTGATTAAAAATAATGAACCAAGAATGGGTAACAGGTCTAAAGAGAAAAACCTTATACCAAGCATTCTGGTAATCAAAATAATTGAAATTTTCTGGACAGGTAAAATCTGTCTTTGAGAGACGAAGTCTCTTTTCTTCCTAAGGTTTCTGTCCCCAGTCCTCATAAGACAGAACTCTTGTGAT